GACTTGAAGTCAACGATTTCATATGCTGTCGCCAGGTGAACGGCTGACGGCCACGCGCTCTTTCAGTCAAGTCCTGCATGAGCGAAAAGGGCGTACTGGGGGAAACACTCAGTTGACATGCGCAGGACGGGACCGAGCCATCTTAATTGACACAGCAAAAGCAGTTTGCGGAAGGGAATACACGTATTCCCTAAGATACGACGTCCGACTTCACTGTTGCAGATAAGTTGTTGCCACCACACACGAGCAGTCCTCTTCAACCACCCCCATTGTCGAAGGCTGAGAGTTGGCGCATGTCGTCTACGCGAACTGGCCATGACTGGCTTTCATATAGCAACACCATCCGAACAGTACCACTGTAAACATGACCCTTTACCAAGAGGGATAGATACTGACGACAATATAAGTGTCTCAAGGTGGCAAAAGCCGATCGAGCTTTGGCAGTGCGAAGAGAAACTTCCTTTCCATGCCAGCAGCAGACACAAAGCTGCGTAGGCAGCCAAAGCCATCCACTTGTACAAGCTGTGTCTTCAATAGTGAGCAGGGGGTAAGGCATATCCCGTACCCAGATGTCACAATCGCCAAACGGTCTAGTATGGTTGGAATACTCTTGAGTCGTCACCAAGTTAGGTGATATCATCGGTATAATCAAAGTCTGTCGCTCGCACGCCCGATGGTAGCTGTAAACCGAAATTTTGGTAACCGTCTAGAGCTTTCGACGGGACGTCTTCAATAAAAAATTGAAGAGGAACGGGGACATAGGGCAGCCCTGTCGTACACCGCTACTGACAGCAAAGAACGACGAAAGCCTGCCATAGACCCTCACACTGATCGGTTCACATAGTTGGACTGTGACTCCCACCGCCGAGGAATATACTATTTATTTATTTAGGTGAAGGTAAAGTGCGCGCAGGATGGGAGTGTACTTTTCTGGGACTCCGTTCTTTAGCCAACAACGCCACAGAGCAGATCGATCAACCGAGTCGAATGCAGCACGGATGTCTAAGAAACCAACGATGGTAGGCTTCTGGTAAAGCTGGCGGTGTTCCAGGATTTGGTGGAGCGTGAATATTTGATCCACACACCCGCGGCCAGGTCGGAAGCCAGTTTGCTCTTTGTAGTACTGCGATTCATGAATGGGAGATGGTCTACGGAGTAGAATGGATGCCAATAGTTTGGACAACCGAAATGTGACTCATCCTCCGGTGATTGGTACATGGAGTGCGAGCACCGTTCATAAGAATCGTGACAATAACTGACGGGCCCCAGGAAGAAGGCACCTTTTCTTCCTGCCAGATTTCAGAGAACAATGAGGCTAACTGGCTAATGATAACTGCGCCTTCATATTTGAGTAGCTCCGAAGAAAGTCCATCTGAGTCGGCAGCTTTGAATAGTGTGAAATCGTAAGAAAAACTTCCGCTTCGCAGAGTGGGTTAAGTGTGACGACCCAGGGCGGACAGCCGAGTTCGCGGGGCATACAAGTGGACGGTGAGGGCCAATAAAACAAGAAATGAAGTTCTGCAAATCGATCCAAGCGTCTCTGTAGGTTGGCAATCGAGTAACCATCTGCTCACTGACACTAAGCTGTCTGTGGCCAGTGGATAGGATGAGCTTGAGAGTATTGTCAGACAGGGCGGTGGCCTCCATTTCCGAAGCACGCCGAGACTACCGGGCTTCACGATCACTACGTGGGCTTTGTTTGAGCCGCCGATTGAGAAAACGGTGCACTTAATTATTATTAGACTCCGCAGGGATATTTCTGCAGCAGTCAAATAGAGCCAAATAATGCGTGGAGATTCATGCCTTCATAGGGTGCTGAGTAAGACCACAGACTAACCGCCCCGAAGATATCATGGTCCTCTGCATGAACACCCAGTGTACATCAATCCAAGTGCACCGGCAAGGGAAGATGGAGAATCGAGAAAGTAGATAGTTAGATAGATAGCGCTTCATACTGCAGAACACGTAATGCGCCAATCGTATTCATATGTCTTCCTGGATTTTGAGTGGTGAGGTCTTGCTCTTCAAGTACTGTCATTGCGTTTTTCATCCAACTATCTGTGGATTCCGGGCACGTTACCACTGCAAGAACGTTGGTTTGGCGTAGTGTTGACCCGGTATGGTCAAGTGTGTTTGTTCTTTCCACACTAGTAGCACAGCAGTACCCAACTCATGGTGCATCATCATCGTCATCATTGCACGTTAGCTGTAGGCGGAAAACACCTCAGCTATTGTGCCGCAATACAAAAGGCAAGAAAAGAAAAAACAAACAAACAGTGGCACGCCCGCTGAGTCCCCAGTAACGGATGGACATCGTTCCGGAGAGCTAACAGCTGGCTGCCGTAAAAGAAAGTCATATTATGCCTAACGATTGAGATCGTGATTGGAGGGGGATGCTAAACAGGAGGGGGATGGACAAAGGAAATCACAACACAAACGCCATTGATGCCGGCTCCGAGCCATATCAGCAAGTGTGTCCAACCAAATGTGTTCACCGTCCTTAGGACCCCAGCCAGGCAGTCGGGATGCACCAACCGACGCCAACTTCGAAGTGAGGGTTTTCATTCCTCTCGACCAAGTCATCACTTGGCCTCCCCTCCTCCTCTTCCAACCGCACCCACAACGCGCAAACAATGCACATCGCGGGAGTCGGTGTGTTAGCATGCGCAACACATGGCCCAGCCATCGGAGCCTGGTGCGTGATATAATGGTGCTGAGCGGTTCATTCGCTCTCCCTGCACCAAATACGCGACGTCGAACACGCTCATTGCTCACGCGGTGTTCCCACCAGACACGAGCTAAGCTGCGAAGGCAGCGATGATCGAATGTGACGAGCCTCTTCATGTCTGTCGACTAGATGGGCCAGGTTTCGCAGCCGTATAGGAGAGTTGAACGGACGACTGCGTTATAAACTCTGCCCTTCAGGGCGAGAGTAATGTCGCGTCTGCGCCACAGGTGGCGGAGATAAGCAAAAGAACCTCGAGCTTTTGCTATACGGTTCGTAACCTCATCTTCAATCCCACGGGTGCTAATATAGCTGACCAGGTACTTGAACTCCTGAACGACTTCTAGCAGATCACCACCAAGCGTTAGCGCAGGGTTGGGTCCCTGCTAATCTTGGAGAAATACTTTGCATTTCGATGGAGCAAAGCATAGCCCAAAACGATTGACAACCAGTGCTAATCGGTCCAGTGCTGTTTGGCATGTTTGGAGGCTGTCACAGATTAGGGCAATATCGTCCGCATACTCCAAGTCAAGAAGTCGCTCACCAGGAAGTAGCTCCACACCATCTAGGTCGTGTCCAGCGAACGCTGTTTCCATGACTTCATCAATAGCGAAGTTGAAGAGGAAAGGTGACAGCGGGCATCCTTGTCTCACACCGCTGGTGATACTGAAGGGTGGCGAGAGTTTGCCATAAACCCTCACCCTGACCGAACTATGTGAGTACAACGTTTTGACAATGTCTACATATTTATCAGGCACACCTTTCCTCAGCAGACAGTCCCAAAGGGCACATCGATCGACCGAATCGAAGGCACCTTTTATGTCAAGAAACACGACAACCGTGGGTCGCCAATAAACATGGCGGTGCTCCAACACTTGACGCAATGTGAAGATGTGGTCGATGCAGCCCCGACCTCGACGAAATCCGGCTTGCTCTTCACGAATCTGGCTTTCACAAGTCTGTGGAGAATGACAGAGGCAAGCAATTTAGAGACAATCGAAATCAGACTGATCCCACTATGATTGCCGCATTCCAAACGGGAGCCTCCCTTGAAAATTGGGACAATGACGGAGCGGTTCCAGTCTTTCGTGACTGTCTCCTGCTCCCAAAGTTTTACTAGCAACTCGTGTAGATCATCTACTAGAGCAGGTCCCCCGAATTTGAAGAGGGCTGTGGGAATTCTATCTGCCCCTGCGGCCTTATGTAATTTCCACAGCCTGATCTCACGTTCGACTTCTGCGCGTGAGGGCGGATCCGAGGAGACGGCCCAAGGAGAAGGGCACTCAATGCCCGAAGAAGAAAGCGATAACTCAGGTTGGTTAAATTGCCTTGCAAAGTGTCTAGCCCAACGCTCCAAACGTTTTGACAAGCTGTGGATCGACTGCCCACTCTCTTCGCGTATGGTCTCGCTAACACCAGGTCTCCTGCTGCTTGTTTCCCGTATCAGACGGAATAACCTACGATGATTACCCACGGCAGCGGCTGTTTCCATCTCAGAGGCACGATGAGACCACCAGATTTCGCGGTCCTTCTTTAGGCTAGCACTTAGTTTTGCCCTGAGATTTTTGCGAGCCTCACTGTATTCGCTTCCAGCCGGAATACGTCGGAGAGCATCCATAAGTTCCAGAGACTGTGTAGAGACCCAATGTCCGGTTTGGCAATTTGCTTTGCCACATGAAGACATGGTGCACCGCCGCACGAAGCAGTAGCGATAAGGTCATGATGAAAAATCATGTTTAGTAGGTATATGCTATTAGATTAAGGGAACACTGTTGGCAGCTAGATGCTTAATGGTCATATGGAACAGGAGCGTGTCAGTGATGTAATGCATCATCGCCACCATACAAAACGCGTCTGCTGGAGGTGAGACAGACCACACCTACCCTGCAACAACAAGTGGTGTTACCCATAAGCCAGAGTTTCGATTGTCTAGATCACGAATCAAGGTTCATACAGAAACGAGTAACAGAAGGGGGCATACGTCAGGACTAGATGAAACGAGCGCCATGAAAATAAACAAGTATGCCACTTACTCGTCCATCACGAATAGACGATTCAATCAGTGAGATCGCCCATCGCACAGCGCTGCAAAAACGATGCCACCTTGCATGATAGCGAAACGTATACGACCAATCAACCAAGCTCGAGGAACCAACCAACAACTGAACAACGAACCCGAGCTACCAGTGTTTCAAATTATATCGAAAGCATGTCGGCCTCTATACCGTGCAAGGAACGATAACGAAGAAAATTGGAAATAAAAAGGTAAGCTTACGTGTCGAAGGTCGTTTACAGTCAGGGCTCGAGGGTTTATCTCTTGAGAAAGATAAACCAAATAAAGATGGAGATTGCCGCGGACACGTGAACGTGAGCTGAAATGAAAAAATAAAAAGGTTAAAGCACGGTAAAAGGACAGACAATGGGATGTAAGCTTTTAAGTCAATTGGGGGTTCACAGCCCCAAAAAAGCACAAGTGGTAAATAGTATTGGCGTTTTGCTTCAACGCGACCATTACCGATAGCGGGCGGACTGGAAACACTACAGAATCGCCGAAACGGCGCAGATTTGAAAATATCACTATTAGTTTACAACGCAGATGTCTCATGTTTGCAGCCACCGGTCGATGCTGGTGCGACCAGTTCGAAATAACACAAGTCGACTTTGCCGTTGAATCGTTGAGTCAGGTAGCTTAACAACCTGCAACCATATAAGTATTTATGAACATATGTTCCTCATGCTGTGGCTGATATTGTATTCATGATGCTTCTTCACCGCAGTTGGGATCAACTAACTGACACTTAAACTAGCGTCCTTTTAAGCCGGATAAATTTCATTCCATTTTATTTGGTTTGTTCTGCCACCCCGAATAATGTTCTATTAACTGGCCACGTTGCTTACACTAATTGCGCTTATCTTCGGTAATTTTGCTGCGTTTGTAGCATTTTAAGTAACTTGTGGACATTTCTTACTTATCGCGGATTCATTGCTAACAAACTTACTTCCTACGCCGATTTAGTGAAGAGCTATGTTTGCATAGACTTAATCTTTCACCGACATATTTTATATGATAATGTCATTTCAAGTGACTGGCCGTTGGTTGACATCCCCGGTGCGGCTGCACTTGATGTACATGTTGACAAGGTGCCTACCTGTCTATTACCCACTACATCGTCCATACTGGCTCCAGGAGACAGTTAGTCGTTGCTGGAGGGGACGGGATGCACGGTCCCTATGATCGTGCTAGGCTCGAAGAGTGGTTCCATGCACTCAGTGTGGAGCACAGTACGGTCCAGGCACCGCCTTGTGTGCACTTGATTCCCAGATACAGCGTCGTTGTGTTTATCTGTGAAAGAGCGTGGGCCGGCTCCGCTGATGAAACGTGGCTCTCATCCACATGACTCCCGGTCTTAATCCTTCGGGTTTACACTGGATATACGGTGTGTGGATGGAGCTGTGGGTGGTGCAGCGCAAGCCACCGATGGTCCCTCTGTAGGCGCAGGCGTCATGTGGCTGGCCACAGTGACAGGCAAATCCGAAACCGGATGCCGCCAACCATATATGTTCCGCTCCGCAGCCATACTGATTTTACCGGGGCTTATGAAAACGCATGTATCAAGTGGACGGAATGCGGAAGGGCAGAGACGCATACCAGAAGTTGCATTGCACATGGCCAATCTGTTGGATAGACGAAGTAAAAGGTTAAACCCAAGGGGAATAGTAAGGTGTATTAGTACCTTACATCGGAAAGGAAACGGCGCATAGCGACAATCGTTTTATGAGCACCAAATGGCTGCACCCGAAGAAGTACGATGCAGATGTTTATCAAATAGCTTAAGGTTACAGCAGAGTACACATCGGTATGTACAAACAGTTGAATATTTGGACATTTGCAAAACAATGCGAACACTGTTTGGAAAGTCGCATGTTTGACAGTGGGCAGCGAAACTTAGTTGATGTCACCTATCATTATCAATGGTTGCGCATCAATCGTCCTTCGAGTAACTGCACACATCTCTAGCAGCAGATGACCGGACCAATGGGCGACACGGAGAGCCAGAAGTGGACACTCCATCGCAATCGCATGCCGTGTGATCTCCCCCATTACTTACGCAAAACAGACTGTACATGTAGACGGCAACACCTAAGTGCGCACTATTTTACTGTATCACATGTTTATTTATCATGCTACCTAGCAGTTGCTTCACTATTCATATATCGGGTTCCTACAAATATGAATGCCCAAGTTTTAAGGCTGCCACGTCTAAATGTTGAAGAAAACATCAACAGATTGTATTAGGTATTTATTCTCATGCCTGCGAAAGTGGTTGTTAGCCTGACATCCAAACAAAACTCATACACGTTTGTCGTACCATTGATCATGAGGTCCAATATGTCTCTATCCAGTTTGTGACAGCTCACACTTAAGTTTGGATAAACGTATGTGCATATGTTGTATCCGAACTGCGATTGGACACGAATGACCCCAATATATGAATATATGCATACCGAATGAATTCGACGAGGATATTCATACCGCTATTGTACGGCCAACTTAGTGCAGGGAAACGGCACTCATGCAAACCGAAAATAACATTTTCAGAACATGAAAAAGGTGAGTTTATGACAAACTCATGTTGATTAAAGGTGTTGCGAATTCAAGGCAAATTTTGATCGATGCGAATTCCGTGGTCTACTGAAAAGGGCGGTTGTTCAGGTGCAGGAAAAGGCACCATTGTACGCGGAACAGAAAAAATATAAGTACGCTACCATCCGATTTACTAATCCAGGCCGATAGCGCGGTGTGTGTGATATGTTTGCAAGCGTGATGAGCAAGCATACATCTCAGAAGATGTTGCTTGAGCTCCCCGATGTGACTGCGCCAGATGTGAAGATAAAAAGGTGCCTAAATGTCTATTCCCCATTACCGCGTCCATACTGGCTCCAGAAGACAGTTGGTCAGGAGGGGATGGGACAGGGTGTACGGTCCTTGTGGTCGTGCTAGGCTCGAAGAGTGGTTCTATGCACTCAGTGTGGAGCGGAGTACGGTCCAGTTACCGCATTGTGTGTGATTGATCCCCCAAATACAGCGTGTTTCTGTGTGCCTGTGATGGAAGGTTGGACGGCTCCGCTGATGAAACGTGGCTCCCATCCACATGCCTCCCCGTCTTACACTTTACGGTTTACACTGAATATGGGGTGGGTGGTTGGAGCTGTGGGTGATGCAGCGCAAGCCACCTATGGTCCCACTGTAGGCACAGGCGTCATGTGGCTAGCCACAGTGACAAGCAAATCCGGAAACCGGATGTCGCCAACAATATATATATATATATATATATATATATATATGTATATATATATATATATATATATATATATATATATATATATTCCAATGCGTATGAGTCAGTGAACTGACCATGTGCTAGAGTCGCTGCCTTTTGGGGTGTACATTTAATCGAAGGCTTTGGCTGCGCACCCGAGTCGTTCTCCTGTCAGGTGTGGGCGCCCTGCCATTATCCTAGTCTATTCTCTTCGGAGGTTAGGAAGTGGTCGATGGCCCACTTCCCGTAAAACCTAACCATGGGAGACAACAGGTCTAGGGGTTATAAGCTCACAGCTCGATTGGCGTAGAGCACGAGCGCCACGCATTGTCTCTGACGGTGGGAGGGCACCTCCGGGTGTTCAGTTGTTTGCTACTGTCCGCTTCAATCCAGACAGCCCCTGGTCAAATTGGTGCAAACCCGCCAAAAACCCACCTGCGTCTGGCCGTAGTCGCAGGTGCGTATCCTACTACGGTCGCAAAACATATATAAAACGTTCCAGAACCTCAAAGGCTGCGTGTGACGGACGTCAAGCAGATCCCAATCTGTTGTAACGCGGTACCCGCTATCGCCTGGTTGATTCACACCTGCTGCGAAATCTGCGCCCTTACGCCTGCTCGGTTTGACGCTTTGGGAAATCAGACCGGAACGGAGACAGAAGACTACTCAGCAGACCAGAGTTGTTTTAAAGCAAAGAACGCTCATATTTATATGTCACTATCACCAGGCGGATTTGGCTCTAAGCCCACGTTCCACACCTACTTGTCCGCTGCATCACTGTGTTGCTCGGGAACTCCCGTCTTCGTTCGCATACCCGGCGCATGGCAACGCGCGTGATGTCTGACGCGTGATTTCATCAGCTTCCGGTTTGGCCTTGGCAACACGTCTTGTGTCTGATCAGATTTCGGCTGGGCCCTGGTAACACGCTCGTAGAGTCCTTCCCAAGCACGATTGGTGGTAAACGCGCGAGCGTTGGCTCTCAGCTTTCTCGCCCAGCTGTCACAATCTGTCTCTGCAACCACATTCCCGAGCTGGATCTGCTCCCCACTGCCTTGTGGGTCAGGCTATTGAGCCAAAGGCTCCGGGCGGAGTCCCTCAAGCAAACCTCTAAACAACCCACTGCCTTGTGGGTCAGGCTATTGAGCCAAAGGCTCCGGGTGGAGTCCATCAAGCAAACCTCCGAAGCACAACGACCACTTCGCGTGCGATTGCGCACCAATGTAATCGTATGCCTGCGCGCAAAGCACTCAGCATCGGGTGCTGGAACGTGCGCACACTACTGGACCGGAACTCCAGCGAGCGCCCGGAGCGACGCACTGCACTGTTCGCGATGGAACTGGCGCGCAACCACACCGATATTGTGGCGCTCAGTCAGACCCGGCTCGCTGAGCAAGGTAAGTTGGATGAAGCAGGTGCTGGCTACACATTCTACTGGGTGGGCAACGCCGCCTCAGCACCACGTGAACATGGGGTCGGATTTGCAATATCCGATCGCCTCCATGGCCAGCTGGTGGGTGAACCAACGGGCATCAGCGCGCGACTGATGACTCTTCGCCTACGACTCGGAAGAGGTAAGTTTGCTACTTTTATAAGCACATGTGTTATCCTGATGCCACGCGTGCTCAGTTCTACACTGAGCTATCCTCCGTGATACGGTCTGTGCGGAGGAGCGACCGACTATACTAAGCCTAAACGAAGTATGTCGTACGAAAACTAACCTAGAAACTACGAACAGATAAACCTAGACTTAACGCACGGTCTGGGCAGAAGAATAAAACGAAGTATCCTGTAACCGTGTCCTCATGTAAGCAATCCAGTTTGGGGATACATCAAAGTTCCTTTTGGACTTTACACTCCCCCGGCGGTTTCCTATCCCGGACGATGGCTTCCATGGCATCATTCTCTTCTTCCTGGTACGCTTCTAGTAGGCACAGCTGTCTGACGTCTCTTCGCAATATGCCTTTGCTAGTCCTCACCAGTGCTTGTCGAACCAGTTGGTCTTTGCTCTTGATAACTTGCTCCACAACACCCTTAGGCCACAGACCTCTTGA